CGATGGAGCATACGCGAGTATATCCGGCCGCTAGGAGGAGATTTTTGTCGAAATTACAACCGGCGAAGTTTGCCTCGCGGGCAAACAAACGATACGCAGTGGCAAGTTATGTGGCAGTTTTAGAGTCCCGACTAGGAGTTTATCATGACGGAACTCGACCATATCGTTGTGGCAGTTGAGAATCTCGAAGATTCAATCGAAGCCTTCAAGGAGGCAACCGGCGTTCGACCAGCTATCGGCGGGAGTCACGACGGCAAAGGTAGCTGATGAGTGAGATTATCCATCGGAGGGGTATCACTGAGAGGCCTAGCTGAGAACTTCTCAGCTAATTCTCTGCTTAACGAAGGACTTTCAGTTTGATTCTGTGGAAGGTACTCGGAATGCATTGCTCGCACTTGGACCGAAAGTTTATCTTGAGCTGTTGGCGCGTGATCCTGCCCAGGCAAATGGTGACCATCCATCATGGCTCGGAGCCTTAGACTGTGAGCACGCAAGAGGGTTCGTTTGTTAGGGGAGGAGCTGCGACATGCGGACCTCTGGCGTCTCGTCATAATTGCCTAGTATTTCGCTCGTTTATAAAGCTTGAAATTCAGCACTGACCTGGACTATTGGATACCAACTCTGTATGAATCATACAGAGTTGGTATACACTACAAAGTCATCATACAGTATGATGACTTTGTAGTCGAAGCTACGTTGTTCCAGTAATCCATTCCCAGATATGTCTGGTCTCGGTCGGCTAACGACCTTCTGCGTGAGGGTACCATCAGGAGACGTAAGCGACAAGTTCAAGGTTTATTCGCGACGGCGCTTGGACGGATCGGTAGGTCTTTTAAACAGTTTTGCCGAAATGGTTCATTTCAACAAAACTCGTTTCAACTGGAGAAAACCATACGCAGGATCGATCCACCAACCTACAAAATCAACCCGATTTTCCTAATTGAGATTCTAATAGAATCATTCTATCTGTGATCAATAACGATGGTCCAACATACAACAGCCAAACAATGTTGATAACCAACATAACACTCAATTCATCATGAGTCTCCCATGACTCATGGGCCATGAGCAATGATAGCGCGAGTGTAGGTTCTCGAGTGGAAGCTGGATGTCTCTTCTCATGAGCACGCCTATATTGATCAGCTGCCATATAAGGGCACTTCTCCATTTCGTATAAGCTGGTGTGGCTCGGAGCACCCGGCAAAGGACGCTCCTAAAGGGTGGGTTGCGGCTCGACGAAATGGTTCGAGATACGAACTAGCAGTTTCATCCTTTTTCTTCGACAGGTGTGAAGTTGAGACCCTTGAGCGTTTCGCGATCTTACCGGCTGGCGAGGAAATGACGGAAACAATCTACGCAGATGGAGTATTTTCGCCTGAGGCGTGAGTTCTTCAACTTTCCTTCTCTCAGCCGCTCAACTGTCTACTCCCCTGACTTTCAGAGCTCAAAACACCTCCATACCTTCTGGATCAGATCTCAGACTCAAAGCTACATTGAGGACTCCGCGTGGACAAGTTGTTCTTCAATAATCTAATGACTAATTATCACACTTTAGCGAGAGTCTGTCTTCGATAAGTTGGAATTAATTCTGAGTTACAGAGTTGGACATGGTTCTACCCTCTTCAAAGAAATGTATCTTACTTAGGCTTATCTTGGTGTGGCATAGTTGCCCCACTTTGATAATTGATCTTACTAAGGCATATCTCCGGGTGGCATAGTTGCCCCACCTGGGAAATTGATCTTATCAAGGCATATTTTGGCGTGGCATAGTTTCCCCACCCGGAGAAATTGATCTTACTAAGGCATATCTCGGCGTGGCATAGTTGCCCCACCCGGAGAAATTGATCTTACTAAGGCATATCTTGGGGTGGCATAGTTGCCCCAGTTGCTCCACACGAAAAAATTGTACAACCTTTAACCGGTAGATCAATGGGGAGAGAGAGTGTGCTATAAATCACACATTGAAGTGACTCGCTTCAAACGAACAAGGCTTGGCGGCCAATGGCAAATCACGTGCTTCGATGGGGAGTTCTCGGGGAAACTGGACCAGTGGATCCGCAATGGACTAGTCACGCCAGTTGGGGACACTAGTTGTCTATTCGTATTGACTTACGCGGATTATCAGTCACGTCATGCTGTTCGCAGTTGATGGAGGTTCTGTGATGGGAGTTTTGGTAATATGTCACGGACGAGGGTGGATCTCAGTGAGATCATCTCACAAACCCATGTGGGAAGCAGTCCAAGTCCGTGACGCATTCAGTGCCTGGGACCAAAGTTTGGAAGGACCTTCCACCATTAGTACCGAGCCGCCGCTGTATGAAGCGGCCTGCGTGTCCCTATAACTCACCCAAGGCAAGAGTTTCCTGAACTCACAGTACTTTGGAGTGAAGGCCCGCAAAGGATCATGCGAAAGGCAGAGACCTTCATTCGATATTGTATTCGAGGCGCCTAGTGCACGTCGCAGCTCATCTGCAGGGAATCCGAACGCCTTCATCCATGAAGACATGGGAGTATGTGAATGCGGGAGAAGCCTCTCCCATAGGTCCTTGTCTGGAGAACATAGATCCCGGATATAGCTGTGATGTCTCGTAATATATTTTTCCTTGGATCCAGCACTAGCATACACCGACCGATCAAAAAATGGCTCGAAGAAAGGAAGGAAGGGACGATTCAGCTTATCGCAATCATTGTTAATCATACGAGACTGAGCGAGAGAAGGAGCTATTTTCGGTCGTGCGTCATCGATAAGGCACTCACTGGTGGGGATGCCATGCGGGAGGGTCCGGATTTTCTCCCTCCTGAATGAGCGGGGAGGCTCGGTTGCGGGCTCCCGCGACAACCAGGAAGAGAAGCGACAGCCGTTGTCGATAGATGATCCAATACGGACCGTACTGGGACATCAATAGCTTCTTCTAGTCCTGAAATCAACAGATATAGCCACGCATTAGCTAGCAGGTGAAATGGGTTGATGATGTATGCAACAGAGGCCATAAAAATGGGAAGCTGTGATCATAACTATGAAGGAACCGGGAGAGAAAAGTCCAAGTTAGACTTGTTAAAGTTATTATTGTTAAACAAGAATCATGCAATGGTCTTTGTAGTATAGTACTACTATCATAGTAGGAGGTAGCAGTTCGGATAGTAGGATTCACGCAATAGGTTCGGAATTCGAACTCCATAGCCAACTTGACCAGGTCGAGTCAAGCCCCAAACACAGAACTACAAGGACATTGTGCAGATTCTGCACACAGCGCACTGCAAAACGTGAGACTGTCATTGTTGGTTTCGATACAATGAACGCTATTACCCTAGAGCTAACACTATAGACCCTGGAGTATTACCTTGGCCTGAAATATGGCATTCGTTGCCTCGGTGTCGTGCTGTACTCGGTGACATGGTCTTTGATTGTTTGTTTACACTACACTGATAAGCCACACCTGATGAATTCCTCTCGCGATGATCAGCGTCAAGTCAAGCTCACCATCTGTGGCAAGTTGCCACTGGCAACCATTGACACCGTAGCCCCCATTACGGGAGATACGTTATTGGCACTCTGCGTATCGATTGCATACCGTATTTCATGATCGTTTGTAGGAGAGGTCAGGACCAAGTCTGTGTCCAGAGGGGGGGGTGCCCAATATGCAGCGTGGAGATGATATCTTCAATGTTGGAGCTCGGCCAATGCCCGAGTCAACCTAGGAAGGCGCTCCAGGCCGAACTGTGAAAATAGCAGCCTTACCATCTCACCAGATACGATCCGCTCGCTTGTCTGACTCCGTTGAGATGGATGCAGCAGAGTAGGTGGAAGACGTACCTAAAGACTGGAGAGTAGCGAACAGACACCAGAGTAGCGATCTCACCGAATCACCCAAACTGGTTCTCATGCTTGTCTGACTCTGTTGGGATGGACGTCGTACAGTATTAGAAGAATGTAGAACAGATCCCTGGAGAAAGGGTAGCAGATAGGGCTGAGACTACTAGCATCACGATGAGGTTCTTACCATGCCACTCGAGCTGGTACTCATACTTGTTTGAGTTTGTAGAGATGAATGCTCCAAGGTATGAGAAGTGTGCGATAAAGGTACCTCAAGAGAGAGTAGCGGATGAGATTCAGTCTAGCAACCATACCGTATTCTCCAAACTGGTCATGATGCTCGTCGGACTTCGCGCGGATGGAGCCTGTACGATACGGGAACTGTGTGACATAGGCACCTGAATAATAGCGGATGTGATTATTGAATTACGAATGAATCGTAGCGATTTATACTAATAGTACGGTACTACGAATTTAATAATTTAATAACACCTATCATATTCATTACCATTCGGCTGAAGAATAACTAGCCCGCTGTCCCGTATTACCGCTGCGCAATACATCCCTTGAGTCTCCTCTTCGCGTTCGCTCGTACGCATCACCATGGCCAAGTCCAAGTCATCATCGAAAGCACATCTGTTCTCCCTCATAACAAAGGTGAGCTCGGAAGGCCATCCCTCGGGTGGGAAGGTGGTTCGTTGCTGCCACACCGTTAACCGCCCAAGATTTGGCTGTAGGTAGCAGCCTAGGTTTCCGTATTTTTCGCGTGTCGTTCGTAGAGGTTCGCGAGCCTTATAAAAACCCCTCAGCGCGCCCACTACAGCTTTCAATTTTCCAGGGAAGGCCGTCAATGGAAGGCCATCATCTCTCATGACCTCTCTCGTGGTGAAACCACGCAAGGCCGGATCTTCGAAGATCAATAGAGGATAACAATAGTTGAGCAAGCACCCAGTACCCTGCCGTGCCTCCAACAGACTCGTATGTACTCCTTGACAAGCTACCATCTGCAAGTGGTGACAACCCGCAGTAGAGCAATGTTCAGCAAATGCCCTCAGGCAATACCAAAAATCGAACTCCGCAACGGTGAAGAACCGCCCGGCCTTCACACCGGCCCGTAACGTCTCGTTTTCTGTAGTGTATTTTAAACTCGTACACAGGCAAGAGTAGAAGGCCTTCTGTTCTGGAAACACGAAACAACTACTCAGGAATAGTTGTAGAGTACAAGGCCGTATTTGCTTGCGGGACCAACCTGACCCGAGAGCCTCAAGATCTTTCTCGATGAAGGCCGTCGAATGTAGGTCACTAATGAATCACAGGAAGGAATATCATAATACAAGAAAATGGAACCACTGAGAATGAACTACTGTCATGATGACAGTGTCATCAGTTCGACACAATCGGGCACAGCGATGGAGTTGGCATTATATACAGCTGTCGAGTAAATAGTCCAAGATAGCACTGCTATGATAGCAGTACCAGATACATTATCGGCAGAAAATACTACAATACCAACAACAATTGGCATTTTTATATTTATTACATAGTACGTGTTACGATAGTTGGTATTTTCCAACGGAGCCCATCATCATGCGTTTCGTCTGTAACGCGCTCGCCCGAACAGGCAGTTGTGCCGGCTTCGCGGCGGCGCAAGTTGTAAATCTCGCTCGCCCGAAATTCACTAGTTGAAACGGGTGAAACGGCTGGGCGTCACGGCTTCTTCGTGAAGCCTTCTCTGAGCCTTCTAAGAGATCTTTGAGAGATCTTTGAGTGATCTTTGAGTGATCTGTGAGGACTATCTTCTAGATAGTATCGGGAACTATCTCTTTCGTAACTAACCCTAACACCAATAGGTCTGTTATACCCTCAACGCTCTAGTACATTGCGTTAAGCCTCAGGAGTCTATGGAATTACGTTCTGGTTCTAAGTTATCCCCCTCTGTCGGTTCTGTCCGCAGAGGGAGATCTAGAGAGGAATCTAGTGCTTTTTCTCTTCCCCCTAGTAACAGGATTCCATCACCCGCTCCTGCACATTCTACCGGGATAATACCCCGAACCAACTCACAAACTCAAGATGACGACCGCATTCACAGCAAGGCCCCTCAAGAGAGAGAGCCATCTAGCTGTACTGAACCTCCTGACCAAGGCGTCTCTGATCAATCCCTGGTTGGTATACCCCCTATCCTCAAGGGGGGTGCATCCACGAGCTCGAGGGCTACGAGGACATCGTCCAAGGGTCTCTATGGCAAGAGCCAGACCCGCCTCAAGCCCCCGGTCGCCCGAATCAAGGAGCGTGATCGAAGTGATGCCCATCTAGTCGAGAAGAGTTCACAAGGGACGTCATCAAACTCAAGGCTCCGTGAAGGGCTCCCATCTATGAGGAGTGCCTTCGTGACCATCAACAGCGACCTTAACTCCGAAGAGCCAAGTCAAGTCTCTGGAGCTATCGCTGTTGGACCTACATCTAGTCCACCTGACCCAATGCTCCTCCATGAAGGGAGTGTTACCAGTCCCCCCATTCAAGGTAGACCCAATGAGGGATCTACCACACCTATTGTGAACATCGACCCTGCTCCACCAGCAATATGTTCTGAGATCGGGCATAAGCCTGACTCTATCGAGGCCGAGCATCTCATGACTTCGCCATTAAGACCGATCCGAGCCCCTACGGATGGCCCCACAGAGGGGAGCCCGAGGAAGGCAGAAAGATTGATGAGTGACGAATCTATACCATGTTCTGTGCCTACTATTGCGTGTTCTAACCAGTTTCAACCGTGTCAGTACGGGTATTCAATTAGTCACATCTACCACGAGACCAAAGGTAAGACCGATGAGCGAAAGCCTAGACATGATCTAGGGTTAGTAGCGCCCCTTCAGTGCCCCCGGTCGGCACGGTCTTGTGGCTCTGAACCCTCACACTGCCAAGGCGGTCCTTATCAGGATCTACCTTATAGATCCAATCCGGTCCATGACGTCTACAACGCTGGCGATCATACTGAGACTGGTGGTAGTGATAATGGTGGTGGCTACTTAACTGGTGGTGGTGATAATGGTGGTGTTTATCTAACTGGTAATGGTGGTGGTTATCTAACTGGTAATGGTGATGGTGGTGGTTACCTAACCTCTGAGGTTTGTGGCCATCAAACTGGTGATGGTACTGGTGGTCATCAATATAATAAGACCAATGGGCTTACTCAAGTCACCTTCGGTCATATCTCTAACCCTAGTGTTATGAGTGCTAATTATCTAAGTAGACATGATCTACACGGCAACGGTTGTTACGATTGCCAGGGCCCCCAAGGGGGTTCCGGGAGAGCTGTTCAACGCTCTTCACCAAACTTTGGAGTCAATGACCCCAACTATGATGTTCTACATAGGCATCATCTATATGAGTCGGCAGCTAATGCACCTACTGTCCAAGCTCATTCTGATATCATTGTATCTAATTTACATCGCAATCAACCTCAACAGTGGAGACTATCCAATGAGGCTGGTGATGTTTGCAATGGTGCATCTGGTGATCCAGCGACTGTGCAAGGATCAACCTTTATGGAATCACAGCAGATTCCTCATCGACGGCAACATCGATCTATCAAGCGCGATGGTCCCCTCGATTCGAGCCCTGAGAGCTCACACGGAAAAGGCAGCTCTGCCACATCTAGTCCGAGAAGTACTATAGCTGGCCGTGGTGAGCGACTCAGGCGATCAAAGAACATCAAGCCTCGTACGTCATCTAGAAGGTATCGGTCGTCATCATCGTCATCTAGTAGTGCTCGTGAATCGTCATATTCGTCA